TGCACTCCAGTCTGGGCGACAGAGTGAGACTCCAACTCAAAAAAAAAAAAAAAATTGGCCATAGGATGGAAGCAGAAAGGCACAGGGAGATTAGTGCGTTCAACCAGGAAAAGGTGACAGGTATATAGAGAAGGAAATAAATCTTCTCCTTGCCTATTGCCCACCTCATGGCTAACACCCTTGTAACAGAAGGCAGATTAACAAGAGAAAGGCATGACAAATTGACCTAACCAGAGTTGCACATGACATGGAGCCTTCAGAAATAAAGACCCAAAGACCCAGAGAAAATGGTTTATTTTTATGTTTAGGTTTGATGGAGAATGGACAGTCATGTAGAAATGTGATTGGACCAAAAAGCTATGATCTAATGGTGATAAACTGGAGGGGAGGAGCTTGGAAAAGCCCATTCGTTCAGATTCTTCTTGGCCTCTCTGTGTAGCACTCTTTTCCTCCAGGTGTGAGACGCCTATCATATGAGGGGGCTTATGACCTAATTTCAGGGGAGTTAGGTAAGTCCTATCTTAGAGAGCTTGATGGTCAGCGCTCACACAGAAAAGTGGGAAGGTCAGAGAGCGACCTTTCTGCTTCTGTTGTTTTATCAGTTTCCAGTTTCCTCCGTTTTTGCTTCAGGCCCAATAGGGCCTGAAACCAGGGTGTAAGCAGGAGTTGGTGACAAGTGGGCAGATTTTACACATATCGTAAAGGTAGAAACAATGGGGTTTTCTAGTGGGCTGAGTGTCAGTTGTGAGAAAAAGAGAGAAGTTAAGAATGACTACAAGTGCTTACCCCAAGCCAGTGGAAAAAATTGAATTGCCATCAACTGAGATGAGAAGAATTATAAGTGAAACCGGTTTGGGAAGATAAGCAAGAATCTGGTTTTTGATTTGTTACACATGAGAAGTTTATTAGTCATCCAGGGGAGATGTCAAGTGTGAAATTAGATATCTGATCTGGAGTTTAAGGAAGTTCTAGAATGGAGATGGATGTTTAGGATTGGCATTTGAAGCAATAAGGCTGGACAGTATCACTAAGGCACTGGCCCTTAGAAGCCCTTGGTGATCATAATAGCTATGTTTCTATTGTGATAGCACCTTCCCTCCAACGGGGAAAAAAAAAAGGAATAGCACCTCCTTGAGGAAAAGAAAATATTCTTATATTTAGAAGTAACTGGGATGTCTACCAAATGAATCATTTAGTTAAGAAATTAAATACTAGCTGGGTTCGGTGGCTCAGCTTTGTAATCCCACGTCTTGGGAGGCTGAGATGAGTGGATTGCCTGAGCCCGCGGGTTCGAGACCCACCTGGGCAACTTGGCGAGACTTCATCTCAACAATAAATCAAAAAATGAGCCGGGCGTGGTAGCGCGCGCCTGTAATTCCGGTTACTCGGAAGGCTGAGGCGGAAGGATCGCCGGAGCCCAGCGGGTCGAGGCTGGGCGACGGAGTGAGACTCCAACTCAAAAAAAAAAAGAAATTAAATACTGAATACTTGACTCATCTAAGTATCAGAAGCAGCAGTTAGAGACGCAGTGGGCCTGCATGAGACCTTGCAAGCAGTTCCATGTGCTTTCCCACTTGCCTGGAAGCTGCCACCTGAGGAAGCTGCTCTGTTGAGCGAACTTTCACGGAACAGTGCTCATCTTTTCTTCTCTTCCCACTCCCCTCCTCTTCCTACCTTCCCCAGCATCTTAGATCCGATAGAACAAGAGCCTGGGAGAATAGTGGCAGCAGCAATGGAAGGTTCCAAGAACCAAGGAGGGCGCTAAAAAGAATCCTGAATGTGAAAGGAATGCTAAGAAAACAAAGATGCCAGAGGACTCCACGCTTCCCAGTCAAGAAAAGGCAGGAATACATTCACCTTTCCTGTATTCTAAGGGAATCTGATAACCAGATTCAGGCCGTAACGTCAGAATGGAATTCGTGCAATTAGTTTTATGAATCCAATGCCACAAAAACTGATTGACAGTTAAATGCCATAAATCTGAGGCAACAGTCAGCAGAGTGCATGAAACAGGCACAAATCATTGCTGCAGGAATTTAATCTTGGTTCTACCTCATGCAAGGCACGCTACTTGGTACTATTTAAGTATAAAGAGGACATGGCTTCAAGGGACACAGAGACAACTTTGGGGCCAGACTCTTTAACATTGATTTCTCACTGGAATCCACAGCCACATTTTCCATAAATGTTCATTATAACCAACAATCCAAAAATATCCCTGCAAGTCTGATGGAAAAAAAAATAACCAAGCTACGCAGCGATAGCCTTTTCAGCATAAACACGGAAGCTGGAAGGTAGAAGAATGTCAGCAAGGAAGGTGGGAGAAAGGTAAGTGGCGGCAGGTGCAACTGGGCTTCCACGAGTTATATTCTTTGTTTGCATAATAAAAGGATAGCAGTATTGGCTATGAAAAAGTACAGGAAATGAGTAACGCCCGGGCAGACTTGCTCTCAGATTGAAAGGAGCGATGATTCTAAGAAATCCCAGTCCACTGCCCGCAGAGAATAGGGAGGACATCGTCAGATCAGCTCACATATGAAGATGGAGGCCAGAGGGACCTCCCTGGCTTAGCATTAACCACAAAGTCTGTCCAAGATAGCCATGATACTGGAATTGTCTAAAATAAGTGTCAAATGAGGCCTGGCCTGTTTTTACAAAAATTAAGTCATCGGATTTCTATTCCTTCTGTTTCTTCTTAAATAGGGAGAAGGTCCCTGTGTGGCCCAGGCTGGTCTCAAACTCCTGGGCAAAGCAATCCTCCCACCTCAGCCGCCCAAAGTGTCGGGATGACAGGCATGAGCCGCCACGCCCAGCCTGATTTCAAAGATTAGTATTCCAGGATCAGCTTAGATAAAATTAACATCTACTTAGTAAAATCCTTCAGAGTGAAGATGTGAAAGACAAAGAAGAAACTGCAGAACTCTGAGAAATTTTCAAATAGCTGACATATTTTCTCTCTGAGTTAATGGACGGAGCTCTGTTTGCCTGGGTATGAAGATGAGGTGGTAACATAGTCCTAACAAAGACTAGGATGTCAGCAACACAGGAAAAGGAACTTGCAGCTACACTGTTTTACAGCTGGGACAAAATAAGATTGTGTAGGGCCTTGAAAGCTGGCAGAATCCTTTCCATAAAGTCCTACATAAGTCAAATTTCACACTGACAGTAAGATGGAAACACCAAGCCCTTAAAACCGAAGTCCTACCTAAGTCACATTTCACACTGACGGGCAAAATGGAAGCACCAAGCCCCTAAAAACTAGACAGTTCTGTCTGTTCACACTAAAATGATATCGAATGTCTTATTGGAAACCTCGCGTGTAGAAAGGCATGAAATCAATTAACTACCATTTTATTGGGCATGTCCTAAATATCAAGTCCTGTTCTATATACACCTTGTTCTAAACACTGACTAAATAATAGTTCCCAGGAAGCAGGTCATTATCATCCCCATTTTATAGCTGGTTAAATGGAAGGCAACAAGTTCAAAGACACACCTCTAGTGGGGGAGAGTCCTGGAGCCCATGGCTATGGAACATATAACTTTAACTGTAAATAATACAATAGGAGCTCAGTAAATGCACATTGAGTGAATACATGTGAAATTTCAGCACCAACGAAATGAAGCAGGTGTTCAAAGCTGGAGTAACTGAGGAGAGGCCAAAGTCAGTGCTTCAAAAGTCTGTTGCAAAGAGCACTCACTGGCTGCAAAGATCAGACATCAACAGATGAAAACCTCATTGTGTGTAAAAGGCAGGGAAGAATTCTACTAACATATTAGCATTAAATAACATTGTGTAAACTAAATTGACATATATATATATATATATATATATATATATATATATATATATATATATATGAGAAAGAAAGAGAATAAGCAAGTCAGGATGAGTCCAAAGTAGGTTGCAATGTGCAAATGATAAACAGTTTTCTAATGCATATATCCACATTGGCTTGGTGCTTCCATTTTGCCCATCAGTGTGAAATGTGACTTATGTAGGACTTCGGTTTTAGGGGCTTGGTGTTTCCATCTTACTGTCAGTGTGAAATTTGACTTATGTAGGACTTTATGGAAAGGATACTGCTCTCCCCAGTAAGAAGTTAATCATACGTGATTTTACTAGCTGGTTTTTATTTGCATCTACAAATGTGTTTATTTGCAGCATTTTCCTGCTGTCACCATGTGTGGTGGCTGTAATTTGGACAGAACCCTCAAGAGAGGACTCCTGAGTTAAACAGGATACAGTTCTTCCTAGGCTTCTGACTATTCATTTCAAATTCTCTAGGGTCAGAACCATGTATATGCACAATCACCA